AACACAGCAGGCCAAGCAGCATCAGAGGAGCAGGAAAGCTGATGTTTTGGGCTTGGACTTTTCTTCGGAAAATTTCAGAAGATTTTCTGAAGAAGGGTCTAGGCCCGAAATGTCAGCTTTCCTGCTCCTCTGATGCTGCTTGGCCTGCTGTGTTCATCCAGCTCTACCCCTTGTTATCTCAGATTCTCCAGCATTGGCAGTTCCTACTATCAGTAAAACTGGGATATGTATTTGTCATATTGGAGTCTATTTTCAGGTATCTAAGATGGGCCCAATCAGTTAGCGTCATTTCCAAGTTTAACTTTGCTTCCAAAATGAAGAGCCTCCTAATCGTCCTGCATCTACCCATTATTCTTAATTAGACGTGAAGCCTACCCTCTGGCTATGAATGAACCAATGTGGGGAATGTACAGCTGCATTTCTGACTCTCACAAATAGTGCAGGCTTCCCATTCCCCCCATTCAAGCATGATGGCAGGCTGCGAAAACACACAGAGAACATTCGTTCTCATTCTCAGTGGTGAAATCAAATGGAAGATTTTTTTTAACATTGCTCATTTTCTTTAAAAATAAGGGGTTACCCATTTAATACGGAGATGCTCAAGCCTGTTCCATCATTCAATAAGATCACAGCTAATCAGATTTTAAACTCAACTCTCCACTCCTGTCTCTCCCCAATAATCTTTCATTTCCTTGATAATCATCTACCTCTGACTTAAAAAGCAAGCAAAATTTCTGCATCCATTGCCTTTTGAGGAAGGGAGTTTCAAAGACCACAACCTTCTGTGAGAAAAAACATGTTTCCTCATCTCTACTAAATGGGTGACCCCTTATTTTTAAAGTAAATTGTTCCCCGAGCTCTAGATTCTCCGACAAGAGGAACAATCCTTTACATATCCAGCTGCTCAGGCCCCCTCGGGATCTTATGTTTCAACTAATTGGCCAGAAGGTAAGAGACAGAGGGTGGTGGTGGAGGGTTGCTTTTCGGACTGGAGCCCTGTGACCAGAGGTGGGCCACAAAGAACAATCCTGGGTCCACTGCTTTTCGTGATTTATGTAAATGATTTGTATGTGAACATGGGAGGCTTGGTTAGTAAATTTGCAGGTGACACCAAAATTGGAGGCGTAGTGGACCGTGAAGAGGGTTACATCAGGGTAAATCAAGGCCTTGATCAGATGGGCTGATGGGCCAAGGAGTGGCAGATGGAATTTAATCTAGATAAATGTGAGGTGCTACATTTTGGGGGGGTGTTGCTAATCAGGGTAGGACTCATATACACTTAGTGGTCAGGTCCTGTGGAGTGTTGCCAAACAACGAGACCTTGGAGTACGCATTCATAGTTCCTTTTAAGTGGAGTCACAAGTGGACAGGGTAGCAAAGAAGGCATTTGGTACACTTGCCTTTATTGGTCAGTGCATTGCGTATAGGAGTTGGAAGGTCATGTTGCAGATGTACAGGACACTGACAGGAGTTGCTGGAAAAGCTCAGCAAGTCTGGTAGCATCTGTGAAGAGAAAATCACAGTTAATTTTCTCTCCACAGATGCTGCCAGACCTGTTGAGCTTTTCCAGCAACTTCTGTTTTTGTTCCTGATTTACAGCATCCGCTGTTCTTTTGGTTTTTATTTTGTACAGGACATTGGTTAGGCCACTTTTGGAATAATGTGATCAATTCTGGTCTCCCTGATGTAGGAAAGATGCTGTTAAACCTGAATGGTTTTAGAAAAGATTTACAAGGTTGATGGGTTTGAGCTATAGGGAGAGACCGAATAGGCTGGGGCTATTTTCCCTGGACTGTCGGAAGTTGAAGGGTGACTCTACAGAGGTTTATAAATTCATGACGGCCATGGATAGGATGAATAATCAAAGTCTTTTCCCCACAGTAGGGGAGTCCAAAATTAGAAGGCATAGATTTAAGGCGATAGGAGAAAGATTTAAAAGGAACCTAAGGGGCAACTTTTTCACTCAGAGGGTGGTGTGTGTATGGAATGTGCTGCCAGAGGAAGTGGTGGAGGCTAGTACAATTACAAAATTGAAAAGGCATCTGGATGGGTTTATGAATATGAAGGATTTAGAGGGATATGGGCCAAATACTGGCAAATGAGACTTGATTAATTTCGGATATCTGGTCAGCATGGACGAGTTGGACCGAAGGAGCTGTTTGCGTGCTTAACATCTCTATGGCTCTACAACACTCAGTTACCTCGGACTCTTTGAAACTGCAGCGGATACTGAGCTAGCCTGTCTAGCCTTTCCTAATGTGGCAATCCACTCATTCCAGATATTTTGTTGATCCAGTTCGGAATAGGCCTACTGGAATGTTCTCCATCAGAATCTAAAGACTTTAGCCCATCATGAATTCTATGTTGTACTAAACCTAAAGGAATAAGTGTATCCCAGGTTTGATTCCTTGTTTTTGCTGAACTAGTTCAGCTTGGAGCAAAGTGACAGTAGGAGCATTTCTCTTAGTTTTAATACTTGTAGTGAACACAAAGAGGGCAAATCAATGATGTCCTGGAAACCAAAAGAACTGCGAATGCTGTAAGTTAGGAACAAAACAAAATTGCTGGAAAATCTCAGCAGGTTTGGCAGCATTTGTGAAGGAAAAAACAGAATTAATGTTTCGGGTCCGGTGAGGTGACCCTTCCTCAGAACTGATGGTGGCTGGGAAAACGTCAGTTTATACGCAGAAAAAAAGGGAACGGGGATGGGGTAGGGAGCAAATGATAGGATAGAGCCTAAAGAGAGAGGAGAGCAGCTGGACAGACAAAGAGTTGATAATGATCAGGCTGGGAGGATGAATAGTTGTTAATGGGG